GCTCGGTACAGGGTTTTCAGGTGCGACCGTGCCTCGACGGGCGGAGGAGTGTGTCTGCTTATTCGAGCCCACATTGACTGCGTCGAGGTGGTGTCGTCGCGGGAAAATGAGACCATTGCGGTTGACATCTCGTACGGAGGGCGGGGTGCCCGGCTCATTGGCACGTATGCTACTAACGCGGGTGATGGTGCCTGCCGTCGTGAGCGTATTCGTAAGCTCTGTTCACTGTACCATTCTCTGTGCTCCCGTAATTTGCCGATCATTGCTCTCGGTGACTACAACCTCCCAGATATCGACTGGGAAAACCTGCGCATAGTTGACTCTGACTCTAAGGAATCTCTGTTTGTTGACATGTGCCTAGAAAATGGTCTCGACCAGCTCGTAGATGGTCCCACCCGTTCGGGCAGCGGGTCGCTCATCGACCTGCTGCTCACAAACGAGCCGGACCTCATCGGCGGGGTCTCGATTTGTGCTTCCCCTGTCACCTCAGATCACCAGGCTCTGTTGTTCTCTGTCGGCATTGGGGAGAGAGGGGATGAGCGGCATCGCACGCTTGCTCCCGACTCCAGACGGGGCGACTTCGAGGCTATATCCGCAAATCTCTGCATGGTCTCGTGGGCATCTTTCTTCTCTAGCTGTGAGTCGTCGGACGAGATGTACACACGTCTCACTGAGTACCTCTCTGTCCTCATTTCTATCTTCGTCCCCCCCAGGTCACATGTTCCCCCTTCATTCGCCCAGGTTCGCCGGCGGAAGAGCGAACTCGAGCAACTGCTGAACAAACAGCATTCCGCTCCCCTTGCGAAGCGTTTGGAGAGGGTCTCCAGACGACTCAGAATCCTTGAGGAGACCTCTCTCAATTTCAGGGACGCGAGACGGTTCTTTCGTTGCGCAAACCGGCGACTTGGGAGACATGGCTCCGTTGGTACTATTGTGCATGGCTCTCGCTCGATCACTGACGACGATGTCAAGGTGGATCTGTTTGGTGAATTTTTCATGTCCTCTTACGCGCGGCTTACTCTCCCCTCACAGGGGGAGCCCTCCCCTGTCTCCATACGTTTCCCGCCCGGGGTCTCTCTGTCTCTCCTGACGTCGTTTATGACAAGCTGCGGCTAACACCCGATAAGTGCTCTCACGCCCCTGACGGCATCCCACCGCTTTTCTTCAGAAGACTTGCTCTGGAGCTTTCGGAGCCCCTCTCGCTCATATATTCTCGCTCATATGAGAGCGGATCCATTCCACTTGTGTTCAAAACCTCAATCGTGACGCCGATTTTCAAAAAAGGTGATAAATCCCAGATAACGAACTACCGGCCTATTGCGCAGGCATTGATCGCCTGCATTGCTTTTGAGAAGATCATAGCCGACCACATTACGCGTCATCTCGAGTTAAACGACTTGCATGATGAGAATCAGCACGGTTTCAGGAGTCGGAGATCTACCGCCACTCAACTGATCAGCATGACTCATGACTGGGCTGTTCCCTTGAATGACAGAGATGACCTCGCATGTATGTATATATTTCGATCTCTCTAAGGCGTTTGACAGGGAAAATCATGACCTTCTACTGCGCAAGCTTCGACGACTTGGCCTTGATGTAAGGACCATCGAATGGCTCCGCGACTACCTTGCTGATCGCAGTTTCCGGGTGCGCATCGGGGACTCCACTGGCCGCGAATTCGGCTGTGGGTCCGGAGTTCCCCAGGGCTCTGTCGTCGGCCCTCTTCTCTTCTCCATTTTCCTGCTCGATTTGCGAAATTATATTTCCTGTGAGGTCTCCTATAAGCTATACGCCGACGACTTAAAGGTGTTCTGTCGACTGACTCCAGAGACCAGCGTGCTCCTACAGCGGACGGTTGACGGGGTTTCTCACTGGTGCTATCTGAATGGTATGTCCATCTCGGAGTCAAAATGTGCTGTGCTGTCCTCCTCAAAAAGTATGTCCCCCCTTCACCCTAAATGGGATCGTGCTTCCGCGTATGACGAAATTTCGAGACCTCGGTGTCACCATCACTCCCACGCTCGACTTCTCCGCTCACATCGCCGACACACTGCTCATCGCCTCTCGTCTCACGGGCACAATCATGCGTAGTTTTATTGTCAGAGACCCGACATTTTACATTCATCTCTATAGGTCACTTATCCTCCCGCGCCTCACATACTGTTGCGAAATCTGGAGGCCCTACCTCAAGAAGGAGATAAAGGCACTCGATCGGTTGCAAAACAGTTTTATTCGACGAGTGGCATATCGTTGTGATGTTGATAGGGAGACCATCGCTCTAGAGAGTTTGTCCGATGTCTCCGATGCGGCGGATCGTAGAATGTTCCGTCGACTCCGATCCTCTAGATACTTTGAGGAAAATTTCATTGTACACAAATCAAACCTCCGCCGAGGCACTGCTATCCGCCCGAAGGTAAACGCGCGAACGAAGCGCGTTGCCAACATGTTCGCCTGGCGCTCGTGCCGACTAAACCAAAATCGTATTCCCCCTTTTTCGTAATAAAGGTGTTCTCAATCAATCAATCAAATTCTAGAACGGTCTCGGGGTTCGTTAGCGGACCTCTCCCGCCTCCCGTGAGAATTGAAAACACTCTAGCGAGAAAGTTCAAAGAACTTTAATCGAAAATAGAAATAAAATGTACATATTTACAAATCAGAACCGCTCGTCGCTGTCCTGGACTGGGGGAGGGCGAGTGGCACCATGGCCATCGCCATTTCCACCACGAGCACGGTGTTCTCGTGCGCCGGGAGGCGACGCAGGAACCGGGAGAGTTCCTGCGCCCACAAGCGCTCTTCGGGCCTTAAGGCGGCCCAGCGGTGGCTGGCCAGCTCCCGCTGTCGGTCTTCACTCAGTGCCCGGAAAACCGGGTCTGAGGCCCGCATCTGGAGCATCAGAAGTCCCGTAGGACTCAGTCGGAAGTGGCGGCTCAACGGCATCACTGCACAGCTCGAGAGTTGAGCAAAAAGTGATTCCAGCGGTCAGAACAAATTACTGCTCGATACCTCTCCCTCCTCTCGACCCCATTAGGACGGATTATTATAAAAAAAAACATGTATAGCTTGAAGTATCCACATCGGGTGCCAAAGTGAAACATCGCTGGTCGAAATTCGGCCACGGTCCAGAGACTGGGGAAATAGAATAAGGACGGGCCAGGCAGATGACCGAATTGGATGAACTCGCATGTGCATGTTTATTCTCACTAAGATATGATCCCACGATGAAATATAGGTACGTTCATTCTACTGAACTGCTCCGCGATTCCCGGGGGAGTGTCACGAATCGTGAGAACATGGGTAGCGTCCGCGTCGGACTAATGAATGAGAGTCTCTCCGGTCTCCGGCGCCCTCGCAGGGCTTTCCCCCTCTCCCCGACGGCGGTTCTCCAACGGAGACTGACGTGCGCGGAGACACACGAAGTTGCCTTCAGCAGACCAGCACGTCCGAGAGCCCCTGCGAGATACGGTATCCCGGGAGAGCGATCTCCAGCGGAGTATTAGTTGTCTTAAGTGTTGTCAACCCACGCAAACCCCCAGCGGTTTGTAACAAGAGCTGACGGTGAATTTTGACATAGGCAGAAGAAGGAGATGAAAGACAAGACGGGAGCCATGGAAGCAGCGCGGCGGGTTCCCTAAACGAATGTCCAACTTCCCAGGTCAATCTTGAGCTTAGCCGACATGATGGGTCTGAGGTATCTGAATGTCTGATAACAACCCATATGGTCTTCTCGGGCGATATACGGGATGAATGAGAAGTCGGAGTACAGACAGGGGTTCGTCTTCCTGGTGAAGAGCAGTGGCGGATCCAGGGAGGGGGGACAGCCCCCCCTCCAAGAATCTTCGATCCCTTCACAAAAGCATAAGCCGCGAGGTGGCGCGTCATCATTTCCCTCTGAAAATATGACTTGCCCCCCCCCAAGAAAAATACTTGGATCCGCCCCCGGTGGAGAGCAATTCGCCCTCAGAGCGTGTTTGCACCTCGAGGCGGCGGTGCACGTCAACTGGGCCTCGGCGTCAACTGGGCTACGGCGTCAACTGGGCCACGACGTCGACTGGGCCGTGGCGTCAACTGGGCCGCGGCGTCGACTGGGCCACGGCGTCAACTGGGCCACGGCGTCAACTGGGCCACGGCGTCAACTGGGCCACGGCGTCAACTGGGCCACGATCGACCTCGCTTCGGAGGCTTCGAGGGGGTGAACGTCATCGGAGGGAGCGATTGCTCGAAGTTCGAAATCGAACGTCAATTTGGGTAATTTACTCGGAGTAGAATCTTGACTCGGTTAGTGCATGTATCATATTTATATCATGTCTCTTGGGTGGAGCTTCCTGGTTCTCACAAGTGATGCTCGATACGAGCTTAGCTGGCGTTTACGCTCAGCGGGATCAAATCTAGATAAAACCTCTCTTTTGCACACAACTACCTGGTGGAGGTCACTCAAATTCAAAGGTTATGTTATTTAGGGATTCATTTGATAAGTATGAGCTATCCCACGGAGAATCTCCCGCAACAAACGGTCATCCATCCTTTCGAGGATTCTCAAGATGCGGCGATCGTTCTCCACGTATTTGTTTCGTTTCCCTGTGATTTCATGCCCGGCGATATATCTTTCCAGATCAGCGTCTTTTGTTTTCTGAACGATTCTGATTCCTTCGATGAATTTTAGGAGACCAGGATGCTGAACCTGGAATTGTCGCTGCAGGCTTCGATGCGCTGCTTCAGCGAAGTTGTTCGTTCGAGAATCGCCATTCAAGGTTCTCCTGTAGACAGTCCATATAGACACCGGGAACAAGGGTTCCCGGCGTCCCAAAGATCCATCGCTCCTCACTTGTAGACGTCCGATGTAGTTATCCTCGAAATAATCGAGGATCGTCTGCAGATCATCAGGCAGCTCTTCCCGCAACTCCCTCAGCGCATCTTCAAGACGCTCCGGCGGGATGAAAGCCAGTGCGGAGATCATTTCAGCTTTGAGCGCGAAATCTGCTTCGCTCCGATACCTGCTGCTCAAACCATTGGCAGCGAGTTGCTCTTTCATATTCTGTACGAGATGGAAAAAACAACCGTGTATCTCGGCTGTCGGGAAATACGCACTAAAAGCGTTTATCAGAGCTTTTTCGTAGTCCATCGATATGGCTCCCGGATTGAAGTTCGGCCAACCCAAGGTCAACATGTCGAGCATCTTGAATGAGAAATGGAGGGTTCGAGTATTTATTCTAGTACACAATCGACCTTCCCGTGGCCCATACAATGACAATGACCTCCCCGAATGATGAGCGACTCACCTTGCAATACCTCTCTTCAGTTTTACTCGGCAAGAGAACGTAACATACAGGAGTCACGACCCCAGGGCGCTCTCCGAGGATGACGAGGATCTGGCAGAAAAGTTCTGGTGCCAAACTAAAGGTACCATCAACGTAGATTTTCGATACCTCTCCGATCCAAGCATTCGTGCTCTCTCTCCCGAATATCAGGATCCGGTTTGGATCGTCTGATCCGCTATCTCCGAGGAGAAATCGTTCGAAGTTCCCGGGAGTGCTTTCATACACTTGATACTCTTCCGGAATGACTATTTCCGAGCGGGTTGAGTAATGTGTCGACGGGATTGCGTACCGGTTGCGAGTTCTCTGAACGATTCGCGCCAGGCCCTTATTGCTCTCCATTGCTCCCTGAGCAGCAACCGAAGAGGTGGCCCTGATTCTGCTGATGATTTGCTGGGGAGCTTCGGCTGTGTCAACAGCACGTCGCTTGAGAGCGACCTTCTGCTGGAGCACTTCGATGGCAGCAGCGTTCGGCATATCTGTGTGGATTCCAAGAACCGATATCTCGTCAGAGATGAGACACTTGTGTAAACGAGCAAGGCATTTGCCCGTCCTGCTGTTCTTGAATTGACAACGCCAGAATTCTTTCGTTTTATCTTTGCTGAACTGTGCGAAGACGTATATGTGACCATCATGAGCCAACTTCTCCCTGCCGCGTTGTGATTCTAGAGGAGCTGACATGTTCCTGATAGATTGATGGATTCACTCTTTTTCGAGAGAATGACTGATTGGGTATACAATCGGGAAAACGTTTCAAGATTCCGCAGGCATTCGAAAGAACGCATTCGAAATTTTGTAGCATTCGGAACTCAGACGTATTCCAAACTTGAGAGGATTCAGAAATCGAACGAAAGAGGTGGAATAATAATTTCACTCGGAGACTTTATTGGCTGTCATAATGAACTTCCCCCAGAAATGTATCAAATTTCGTGATATCATATCTCCCATCGCTCACGATCCTCGCCACATCAATAGAGGAAGCATTCGCGTTTCTGCTCGAACGCGCTGCATCTTTGCGCTCAAGTCGAGAATCACTTCCGTCAACGGAGAGTCCCAAATCGAAGTAAGTTTCCTCCCGAACGTGGCTTTCACATGGCATCTGGAGAGAAGGCCCGAGAGCGAGAGCGAGCGAGACAGGGAGAGAAAGGACTTCGATTGATCGCTCCCCTGGAGAAGTTCATCAGCCTCTCGGAGCCCCCGAACTGAGGCCGATCGCGGCCCAGTTGACGCCGTGGCCCAGTTGACGCCGTGGCCCAGTTGACGCCGTGGCCCAGTTGACGCCACGGCCCAGTTGACGCCGCGGCCCAGTTGACGCCGCGGCCCAGTTGACGCCGCGGCCCAGTT